GCCCGGGGCGCGTCCGCACAGCCGCATTCACCTCCCCCGCTCCGGGTCTGCTACTCCGACACGGATCCCAACACCAACAAAATCACAACGTGTCTCGGCCAAGACCGTCGCTCGCGGCTTTGACGGAGAGACGCAGACCTCCGCGAGTTCCCGCGGAAGTCCACAGCAGCGCACACGCGCCTCGATCGCAGGCCGGGGGCGGCAGGCCGCGCGCGAAACGCAAGCTTACCTGCTTCGTGGTGAGTGACGGTAGCCGTTTTTCGCGACGGAGGCGGTTCTTCTCGCTCGGCGCGGAATTGCTCGACGCTAGCTATGGCCTCAGTCACGCGCGCTAAACCGACCGAAGTGCGTACCAGTTCATGCCGTCGCCGTGCTGAATTGCCATGCTGCGTGCCGCACATGCTTATGTGTTACGGGTGGGGGGCTGTAGATACGTAAGTTCCATATGTAACATTATACCATGCTTTCCATGCAGCCTACATAGTATACAGGCAGTCACATGTCACATGCAATACCATTAGTACACTGCAGCTACATCGCTTACCACTGCCAATCACCATCCACGTCACATCGCCCAATCACATACGTACCATGCCAGTACAATAGTACATGCAATACCGATGTACATGCCAATACATCAGTACATGCAGCTACGATGGTGAGTCAATGCACATACATGATTACATCGTGCTACGGATGCCACTCGAAGCACGGTAAGCTGACTTCGAGCGGACTCAGTAACCGTGCCTCGACCACGATTCGGCACTCTCGACCCCGCACGACTCCGCTACGGAGCTCACGACTCTTTCAGATGGCGGACGTGTTACATGCCAATACGAGCTGCTAACCCTCTTAGTTGGGACTGTGCCCTACACAATGTTACATGCAATACAGGTAACTCTGCTGTGTAAACAATGTTACATGCAACTACATGCTAACCTCTCTGCTGCCTAACAATGCTTACATGCCAATAGCATGCTAACTCTCCGACTGCTGTAACACAGTGTACAATGCAGTACATGTAAACTCTGGCTGTAAACCAATCCGTTACATGCAAATACAATGCTCAACTCCTGTGCGAACAATGCTCTACCATCGCCAATACGATGGAACTCCTGGTGTCAACAATGGCGTTACGATCGCCAATACAGCTAACTCTCTGCTGTAACAATGATTACAGCCACATACATAGTACACTCTGCCTGCTGCTAACAATGTTACCATGCCAATACACGTGTAACTCCTGGAGGTGTAACAACGATGCTTGCATGCAATACATCGTAACCTCTGTGTGCTAACCAATGCTTACATGGCACATACATGTCAACTCTCGGTCTGAAACAAAGTCGGCTTACATGCCAATTACATGTAACTCTGTTGTGTAACAAATGTTACATGCAATATACATGGAACTCTGGTCTAACAACTGTTACAATGCCAATACATGGTAACTGCTGCTGTAACGCCAATGTTACATGCAACCACCAGGGAACTCTGTGTGCTCAACAATGTTACCACTGCCAAGTACATGAACTCCCTGTGACTGTCAACAATGCTTGACATGCAATCCACATGTAACTCTGACGCTGATGTCAACACACTGTTCACATGCAATATACATGTAACCTCTGTGTATAACCAGCTGTTCATGCAAATACATGTCAACTCTGCTGGGCTAGACAATGTTAACATGCAATAAACCCAATACCACGCTAACTCTGCCTGTGTAACCAATGTATACATGGCCAATACATGTAACTCTGGCTGTGTAACATGCTGCCTTACATGCAATACACGTAACTCTGTGTGTAACAATGTTACATGCCCAATACATGAACTCTGTGCTGCTAACAATGCTTCATTATGCCAATTACATTGTAACTCCTGGTGTAACAATGTTACATGCCAATACCACGTACACTCCCAATGGGGTGGACACTGGCAACCCTAATTCCAAATCCAACTCAACGGAAAACTGGCCCTTGTGTGTGTGTCAACCAAAACACAAACACAAACTGCCTTACATGCACCATACATGCTAAACGCTGCTGTGCGAACAATGCTTACATGCACCCAATCAACGTAACTCTGCTGTATAACAATGCTTACATGAAACTACACGTAACTCCTGGTGATGTCAACCATGTTACATGCAATACATTGTAACTCTGTGTGTAACAATCCGGTACACTGCAATTACACGTAACCCTCTGTGTAACAAGGCTTACATGCCCAATACACCGTAACTCTGTGGTGTACACACATGCTCTCACATGCAATACACGTAAACTCTGCTGTGTAACATTGGGCTTACATACAAAGAATACCAACGATCAAGGGCTCTCCTCAACAGGCAGTGTAACAATGTTTAAACAGCCCACATTACACGTAACATACTGTGTGTAACACATGTTACACGCAATACACGTAACTCTGTGTGCTAACAATGTTACATGCCCAATACATGCTGCTAACCTCGTTGTGTTGTTAACACATGCTTCACATGCAATACATGTACACTCTGTGCCCTGTAAACAGATGTACATGCAATACATGTCACACTCTGGTGCTATAACAGTTGTTACATGCCAATACATTGCTCAAACTCTTGTGCTGTAACCATTGTTCACATACAACTACATGTAACTCTGGTGCTGTAAACATTGTTACAGCCAATGACATTGTAACTCCTGCTCGTGTAACAGCTGTCTACACTACTACGTACACGCTAACCCTGGCTGTACACAATGTTACATGCAAGCACCACGTAACTGCCTCGGCTCGTGTAACAATGCTTACATTGCCAATACACCGCTAAACTCTGTGCTATAAACAATTGTTACGATGCATATACACGCTAACTCCTGCTGTATAACAATCTCTACACCTGCAACTACACTGGAACTCTGTTATACACAATGTTCCCATATGCAAACCAATGGAACTCTGCTGTACAATAACACATGGTACATGCCAAGTACACGCTAACTCTGTGTTGTAACAGTGTTACCATGCAATCACGCGTAACTCCTGGTATAAACAGTGTTATAAGCGCGTAGGCGACTGCCTAGACTCGATAATGGAGTAGGCGAGGTACGGTCCGGCATATTAGATAGTAGTATTTAGTACCAGGGTACGTTCCGGCAGTACCCTGGGGGACATAGACCCTATCAGCCAAACTTTACACCACTTCCAGAACTAAAGACTCAACACCTCAGATAGGTGTGTCACTGCCACTTGTATTGGCATTGCCTGCTGACTTTGTAATGACATCTGTGTTGACCGTAACGGCGTAAGTTGACTTAGTAATTTATATTGATTGGGACAAGTTTGATTAAATGGGTATGCGATATTGCGAGGGCCAAACCATGATGTGGCCGTGTGAGCCGGTAAACATTAATATCCTAATTGAATGCGATAGGGCAGAGTAAACTCTATGGTTCAATGATAGAGAGGGCATTGGCCGCATTAATTACCAATTAATGACATTGCATTGGAAATGTCAGGGCTGACACATTGGAAATGTCAGTGACAAGACAGTAACACAGAATATTTATATCGTTAACAGAATATTGGCACAGTCTACTATGGGCTGATTAATTGCGGATCAAGTCTGTCAGCAAGTGGAATCGTCGTGTATAGTATTGTAATCTTACACTAGAAACCTCCAACGTATCTCTCACGCCGTCCTCCACATTCTACGGAGGTGCTGCCATCTTTGGGGGATTTGTGTATATACGACATTAGAACTTGTGTTGACACTCAACAGGTGGCAGCAGTTCATTGCTCCGTCTGTTTTATGGTTTTTGGTGATTAGGTTATTAGGTGAGTTTATCAGGGTTTATCACTGTTTCTATATCACACCTGGTGTACAGCGCTAATCGAATATATTCATAATACCAGTGACGACGATTGTCAATATATTATTTAGCATAGCATAGCACCATTTTGCATAGCATTCTCTGAAGGCTTCACAAATTTTAGGGACCAAGTGGGAAGCCGCTGAAAACAGGCTACGTACTTACCAAGTGACGTCACAGGTCTGCGCGTGCGCATTTCGTGCACTGTAGCCACGGGTTCGCGAGCGCACTGTTTACCATCACAAGCTTCGTGATTGTGTGATCGACGTCTCGTGCTTGCCAGTGTGCTGCAAAAAGTGTTGTTGAATTCAACTACACGTACGGTAACTATTCGTTAATTTATTTCACGGTCAGGTTTGTGTAGACATGATCGGAGTAACTGCTACAGTCGTGATGTATAAGAAATTGGCGATTGCAGACCTTCGCCATGTAGTGCATTATCAATTGCAGATGTGATTGCTGACTTAGCAGCCTTTCTTACTTGCGTACCCGTGTTGATCGCTCGCTCTCTCTCTCCCCCCCTCTCTCTCTCTCTCTCTCTCTCTCTCTCTCTCTCTCTCTCTCTCTCTCTCTCTCTTAAGAGTAACATTGTTACACACAGAGTTACATGAATTGCATGTAACATGTCGAGCCGTCTGCAAGAGTAACATTGTTACACACAGAGTTACATGTATTGCATGTAACATTGTTACACACAGAGTTACATGTATTGCATGTAACACGTCCAGCCATCTGAAAGAGTCGTGACTCGTAGCGAGTGTCGGTCGAGAGTCGATCGGTCGAGGCAGGTACAGTCGGGCAGCCGTGTCGAGTCATCCGTAACATGTAACATGTATTGCATGTACTATGTACTGCATGTACTATGTATTGCATGTACTATGTATTGCATGTGACATGTACTGCATGTACTATGTATTGCATGTGACATGTACTGCATATATACTATGTACTGCATGAAACATGTATAACATAGAACACGTATCACACGTAACACATAACATGTGCCGCACGCAACATGCAATTCAGCACGGCGACGCATGAACTGGTACGCACTCTCGTCGCGTACGCGCGTGACAGAGGCATATAGCGACGACAATTCCGCGACGAAAAACCGCGCTCGCAAAACAGCTACTCACTCACCACGAAGCAGGTAGTTCTTTCCGCCGCCGCCGCCGCCGCCGCCGTTGCCTGCTGTACTTCCCGGAACTCGCAGTCTGCGTCTCTCCCTCAAACACGCGAGGCGACTCTTGCCGAAAACTTGGAGGTGTTGGATCTCGAAGAACCAGCGGGGAGTAATCCTGTGCGGACCGCCGGGAAAGCACGAGCTGGGTGCACCGAAAGGGGAAAAGTAAATGGGCGTCTCGGCGGCGCGTGCGACACCCAGCTTTCCTGCAGAGCGGGAGAGAGATCAATATTAGAGTGTCGCTGGCAGCAGGCAGGCTGAAACGAGCCGGCGCGTGCGCGTGCTGGTGGCTTCTTCTGAATCGCGGATGCTGTTGTTGCTGCTGCTGCTGATGATGGCTGAGTGATTCATCGCAGAATGATTCACTCCCTTGTCATTTCTCTCTCTCTTTCTCTGACTGTCTGTCTGGTCTGGGCTGTCTGTCTGTCTCTCTCTTCTGCTCTCCTCTCTCTGTCTCTGCTCGTCTCGTGCATCCGTTCTGCTCTCTCTCTCGTCTCTCTCTGCTGTGTCTGATCTCTCTCTCCTCAATCGTCCGTCTCTCTCCTCTCTTCTCTCTCTCTTCTCTGCTCTCGTGCTCTCCGGCTCTCTCTCTCTCCTCCTCCTCTGTCTCCTCGCCGTTTCGCGTTCTCTCTGTTTTTCGCTCTCTCTCTCTTTCTCTGCTCTCTCGCCTTGTTGGGGGGGTGGTTTTCTGCGGCTCTTCTTCTGCTCTCTGTCTCTCTCTCTCCGTCTCTCTCTCGCTTCTTACACTACTCTCATGAGATCTCTCTCCCCCTCTCTTTTCTCTCGTTGGCATCGTGCTGTATGGGAGGAACCCGGGAACGGAATTGCTTGTTACGTTCTGTTTAGCGTTCATGGGGGTTATAGTTGCTATGGCGCAAACTTTAGCTCTAGAGTCTATTTGTCGGCGCCAGGGTACTGGCCGATGTACCCTGGTAAGCTATGCTAGCTGATACATGGTTAGAGGTTTTAGGTTTAGGGTTAGAGTTA